AGGTCTTACCTTTTAACGTGTGATTCCTAACACGGGTTGGACGATAGCAAGTGAAGATCGATCGTTCAGACTAGGGCTTGAACCACCGACCAACCCGGCAGTCAATTCGAGTGAGTGAACAAAGCACCCACGTCGAATCGCTTGGTTACTGACCGACCGATGTACTTGGTTATATTGAGTTGTTTCAAGAGTTTTCTCCGTTTCTATGAGTCTACTTTGGACCGTAATATCTCAGTGAAAACCTAATCGAAATTCACGTCATTTGAATCAGCAAGTACACTTTTGCCAACATAACACAAGTCAGTTCATTGCGTCAGCAAAAAAATTGGATGCTCGGGATTCGATAACGTCGACGGAGGCCGTTTTTGCTTGGTCTTGTTTGGTAAAAATTCTACCAGTGAAAAAGTTATTGAAGTGCTTGGAAAACTCATAGTCGATTGGTGAGAGGTCTGGGGAATATGACGGGTGATGCAGAACTACGACGCTCAATCCGTTTGGTTTGTGGAAAGTGCGGACTGACGTTGTTCTTGACCAGTACCGGCTCCATAGGACTCTGCTATGGTGCTTCGGTCCGGTTGCAGAAAGTTATAGTGAATCACACCAGCCGCTGACCACCATACAGTAGCCATGATATTTTTTAGTGGGTTTTCATTTCTGGGAAGTGCCAGGGTCCCCTGTTGTCGTAGAGGATCCACTTTTCATCACACGTGATGATCAGGAATTGGCCGCGGTGGTAGTGCGCCCGACTCACGATTGGAAGGCCGTGGGTTCGATTCCCGCCTCGACCAGATATTTTTCTTGAGAGAATTTATCTGTTCGAAGCTGGGATGTTTGCGCAATCGTGTTAGGAATCACACGTTAAAAGGTAAGACCTCGTTATTTCTTAGCTCGCACAAGTTTCTCAACTTCTTAGAGTTGTCGTTCGTATGGGGGCGACAGCTGATTAACCACCAACTTTTCGAACTTCTTCATCTTCCCAATACGTTTGAAATAATCAAAAACCACATGGGAGCTGACGCATAGTTTTTTCGCCATCCCACGCACCATTTGTGCGTGCCAATACTTTTGAAAGAACCTGAATTCTCCAGGACAGATTTGAATACCATTTTTTTTTTTCGAATTTCCTATTTCGTCAGAAAGAGTTTGATTTCCATATAGAATAGAGAAATGTCTTGAACAATTCCTGGTGATTCCACACATATATTACTCATAATACTCTTGAAGTTATGGGTTTTTATTTAGAAAATATTTTCTACGTGAAACTCTATAGCCAAGTCCTTATTGACAAATCTTCTCAAAAGTGATCAACCTGCTATCGTTTTCAAGAAATGCTTCTTTGTAGGCATGTCTGCTCCAAATGAATGACCAACTGAAGTATCATTACATTCATCAAAAACAATTTTTTCACAATATAGTCTCCGTATCAAAAGGTTTCTGAATTGAAATATATAAGCCAGCCTTGCTTATCCAAGATAAATAAAGTTGCCTGTGGGAATCACTTGCAGAGCCAAGCCGCCAAAAAATCAATCGCAATATTGAAAGACGATTATATCGAATCATAGTTCAAAAATTGAGTCTTCGTGTTCCACCAGGCAGCGCTTTTTCAACGCACTATAGGTATAATCAGTTGTACGAGGTTAAACCACAAATTGGCATTGACAAAGAGCTGAAACCGTCTAGAGATTATAAATAGTTTGCTTCCAAAATCATAATCAATCAAGTCATAGGAATACGAATGGTTTTATTTAAACTTCCAAAACACATTTTTCACATCCCACAGATATTGCAGTATGACTTGGGAAGTTACAACAGATCATAGAATGTAATAATAAAAAAAGAATGTTGGAAGTATATGATATACGGGGTGTAACTAAACAAGTGTAAAACATTCAAGTAGCAGATTCCTCATCGAAAAAAAAAGGATCTTCCATACAAAGAAATTTCATTGGAGCATCCCTTGTAAAGATACAGCCCCTTAAAGCGGGTACATAAAAATTATATAACAATTTTTTTCACAAGCACTGAAAAAGTTACAATATTGAAATTAATCTGACGTTTTGTACTCCCACGGTTGTGAGGGGTGAAAAACGCAATACCTGAAATTTATCTCCAATGTAACTTTCTGTCTTATCATTTGATATTCAAATTTTATGTACTCCCTTCAAGGGGTTGTATCTTAACAAGGGATGCTCCAATGAAGTTCCTTTATATGAAAGATCCTTTCTTTTTTTCGATTAGGAATCACCTCCTTGCATGTTTCACACTCATTTAGTTACACCCTGCATAACCTCGTAAAGAGGGGATAGCTGTAGTGCTACGTTAACACATGTGATGAAACAATGAAGTGGCAGTACATACTTGAATTTTTATCACTACTCTGCCTGAATTTTCTGAATTTATATTCTGAAACTAACCTGAAGGACACTTTCAACAACTGTTACAGTTTTTCCGGTTCCTGGGGGTCCAAAAATTATATACGGCACGGATTTGGGAGCCAGAATATTCCGCACTGCTGCCTTTTGTTCTTCATTCAAATCTCGATTGAAGAACACAATACTGAAATAATAATATGAAATCATACATGTGGAGACTGGGCAACCTTCTAGTTTACATCAATAAACTACGGCCTAAATTCAATACAACTCTCTTGAAGGGTCGTCATTGGAGTTTGCCATTGATTTTTGTAATATTAAGTGGGCTGAAAAGTTTGTAGACTATTACACTGATTGCAATACTAATATCAAATTCACATGATTTTTAGTTATCCCTAAGCTTTAAATGACACGTGTATAAATTTCACAGCTGTCGGACTATTGGTTTGTGAGATAGAACATTTTGAGGAAAGCAACGTTTGTTAGTTTGAAGAAAATTGATGGGAAGGAATTATATGTGTTGTTGAAGCATTCAAACAATATCGAGTTGATGATTTTGAGTAGTGTTTGAAGCTGTTCCACCATAAAAAACCCGAATTTATACATCGATATATCCATCGTTTCACACCAGAATTAAAACGATCGTCATCTGAGTGGACTGCATATGGTAAACCGACTCTAAAGCGTGCAAAGACGCAGCAGTCGGCAAGGAAAGAAAAAAATCATCAACAGCGACTATTACATAGCGTCACTGAAGCATTTGAAGGGAGAAATCGCGGAAAATTGACCTATTCGAAGAAAACGAAAGAGGTGTCCCATCAAGATAAGGCACCGTGTCACAAATCAATAGAAACGATGAATTGCACTTGGACTACATCCACCGTATTCTTCAGATTTGGCCCACAGCGACTTTTTTCTGTTCTCGAATCTCAAGAGAATGCTCGCTGGAAAAATCTCGCGCCAATGAAGAGATAATCGTTGACAGTGGGTGTGTTTCGCCATACAATGGCTTCTCCACAGTGAAGACACGACCGAAGAAGCCATTGTATGACGAAACACGTGTTGCGTTTTTGTAAAATTGTTCAGTTAAAATTTCACAATAAGGTGTTTTTTGAATACGTTAGTTATGGATTTTCATCAAGTATCGGCCAACTCCATCATATAAATATGCCTGTTCCAATTGGAAGTTAAAAGTACTATTTTCAAACTCCTACAGTTTGAAAAAACCTATTGCAATTGTTTTTCAGATTGTTCTGCTTACTATTCTTTCCAAATCTCCATCGACATCTGTCGAAGAAGTTTGAAAAAAAGATGAATTCAGGAACGGAAAATTGTAAGGTATAGTTGGTATTCTGATTCTGAAGAATGAGTAACTTTTTGGTCTCCGAAGCGTTAAGATAAGTATACACAGGACATTTTTTCAGCTGGTGCCACTATTGGTAAGACCTACAAGGACGTACAAGATCTACAAGTACGTACAAGACCTACAAGGATGGTTAAATTGGACAGGAGTTTGCTACTTTGGGAAACTGGAATAATATTTTCTCAGATCGAGAACATCAGTAGTTGTTTCTGAATAATTTGCCAAAAATAGAGTTGCTGAGTTTCGTTTTTTTGGCTCTACCACCTCAAATTCGAATGAATTGAGATTAAGGCAGAGAAACTTTCAATGCTGTTTCATATTTGTTTCAATCAATTTGCAATGCGACGCTTTGTTCATTAGATTTCATCATCAATTTTATTTTTCGAATAGGAATTTCTAGTTGTTTTCATCGATTTTTGTGGCCACTCTAATGAAAATTCAGCTATGTATTACAATGAATTATTTTCTGAGCTATCTCAATAAAGTAGGTACATATATATGTTTCCGGTCTAGAACTCAAAGCTGTATATAAATTCCACATATCAAAAGGATATGTAATATACTGAGTAATTAACAAACAGAAAAAATATAATGTCAAAATAGTCCTAACCATCTTTGTCGTTCACGATATCTCATTAAATTTTCAAATTAGCGTACGTCGTTTCTAAAACAATATTTTTATCACAATTTTCCAGGACTTGTAGAGTTATAGCCATGCAACCCCTTCTTATTGTTTTTTTAAATTCGTCAATATTGACAAAAGTTGAGCCGAATACCTTGTTTTTAATGAATAACGTCAGAAATCATATCCATTGTGAAATACATAGCTGAATTTGTTATTACAGTGGCTACAAATATCGATTAAACAACTAGAAGTCCATATTCAAAAAAATAAAGTTGATGATGAAATCTAGTGAACGAAAAGTCATATTACGAGTTGGTTCATATCAGATCATAAAAAATATGAAACAGTATTGAAAGTTCCTCTGCCTTCTTCTATATCATTCAAAATGGAGGCGGTAGAGCCCAAAAAATAATTTCAACAATTTTAGTTTTTGGCGAATAATTCAAAAACAGTTTCTGATATTCTCGTTCTGGAAAGAAATTATTCTAGTATCCCAAAATAGAAAACGTTTGTCCAATTTAACAAACTTTGTAGGACATCTTGTATAAAATCCTTAACACTTTTTGTTAAACATTGAATGAAACTGATCGATACATGATGGCAATCCACATCATATTGTGGAAGCTCAAAAATTCTCCAACAATGTAATAAAAAGCAATACTGAAAATAAATCAAGTTATTAATAAAATGGTGACATCATAACGTCCATGTTTCTTACTCGTGTGAATAATCCGACTGGTTAGATTCTGGATGTGTTGGATAAAAATATGGAATGATTCCGTGTTCGTTTGCGAGGTGAACTGCTTGTTTTTCCACTCGTATTGAACGTCTGTTAAAACCGAATTCAATGAAGTACTTCTTATTATCAATGAAGGATTGGGAAAACCTGCAAGAAGAAGTTTCAATTAGTAGTTACCGAAAGCTACAAAATCTCGTTGAAGATACATGTCAACGGAAATGAAAAATTATAGAGTGCTGTTAGATTATTTATACAGGGATCAGTGGTTGTAGAAATATGACAGATATTCCTGATATACATCAACTGTTGATATCCAAATAGAATTGGAAGTTGAACACCTTATTTCGAAGAAAATAGACTGTAGAATCAAAGATATCCCAGATATTTCGTTATTACAGTTTTCAATAATTGAAAATTTCAGATATTATTAACGTCTGAATCAGTGATTGAGGTACCATAATTTCATTAATTCATTTCATAATGACTCGTCATACGTTCAAGAAACATTTAGTTTGTGTCACTTCAAATGAAATAATGTTTTGTGTTTGAACTGTAAGCGACTAACATCTAATTGATTGCAATAATTGCAATAATGATTATGTGCGTTTCAATTAATTGTTCGAAGATAATCTAACGTTGATATTTGGTTTGGATATCTATCTTGATGAATGATGATGATTTCAATCTCTAGTTTCCAATACAAAAGTTGTATTCACTATTTTCATTACCGATTTTTTTTTAATGTGCGACAGACGAAATAATATCATCAATGAATTGTTTTGTAGAACTACTTTCTCTTTTCGTTTCATGCATTAGCTGAATAAACAAATATTATTCTGCTGCATATTTTTGAGTGTAATTCAGAAAATAAATGCCCTAGAAAGAAAATTGCTGTCTCATTCAAGTATTCTTTCACAGCCATTCTACATAATCCCAAGTTGGAAAATAAACTCAATTCCTCGTTCCTTGTGAAATATACTAAATCAACGTCAAACAACATCAAATGGAGTGGATGCAGTTCTCTGATGAAATCGTCGATGTGAAAGTCTGTTTATGATAATCCTAATATTAACTTTGAAGTAATTATGCCGTCTAAATTCACACGAACGCTTCTGTTACAGAAATAATTGGTTTCGAAGCAGATAGACAGGCGGAATTTCTGATAATTACTGGGTACACGTGTTGCATTTGATATACTAATTCGAAAACAAAAACGAAAAACTGGAAAATATTAAATGTTATGAAAACTAATATTGCTTATTCAATCGATTAGTTCCAGACTGAGAAGGGTTGAGCTTAGGGTGGCAGATATCTGGGGCGGCAAATTTGGGGACCGATTTTTTTTGCTACATCATGGAAATCGAAAAGATTTTGGCATGACGGTTTTCTGTTTACAGATAGAAGTCTGCAACAAATGTTGCTCTGTTTCGACTTGCCATAATATATCTCAATCACCAAACATCAACGATAAACTAGGCTCCCTGAGGGGGTCAACTGCAAAGCTAGGTTTTGATATCGACTCCCCACGAGATTCGTCATATGTGTTTCACTGCAAGGCAACTAGCTAAAAACCGGGTCCCGAACACAATACTAGATAATGCGGTTTCGACCCGCCATAGGTCTCATCAGTAGTGCTAGACAGAACCACAAATACATTGCTGGACCCAACTGCACTTAAATGACAAGCCTAATGCAAGGAACACACTACGACAGGACGAGATCATGCCAGGACGAAAACATGACGTAAAGTTTCGTTTCCCTTTCTATAGTTTCTTATGAGTGGGGGGGGGGGCTCTGTAAGACAGGCAACGGACTGGCACATGCCAGGACGGGAACAGGATGCCGTTTCGTCTCCGCTCTCCTTAGCCGTCCCCACACTCCAGCTGCATCCGCATCTGATGTCCTGGGATCCAAATGGAATGAAGAGACAAGTGTGCTGTCGTCAGCAAAGCAATATTTTGGATTCTTGGTTTCTTCCAATACGTCGTTGATATACAATAAAAAAAGGTTGAAGACAATATGAATTCCTGGGGAACACCACCGTTGATGATGGAAGTATTCGAAAGATATCTATCAACGGCTACTTGCAGGGAGCATTCTTTCGGGAAGCTGAAGAGCCATACACAGAAATGATTCGACAAGTCATAGCATCGAAGTTTGGCCAGCAAACTCTGATGCCATACAAGGAAAAAGGCCTTAGAAATATCGAGCGCAACAGCTCTTGACTCTCCATGTTTCTCGATTGCTTTGTTTCGGAGAGCCATATTGATGATCGCTGAAGATGTTGAAGCCTTTCATATATTTAAGGATATGGTGGTTCACGGCTTTCTTTGAGATTTTTGATATCACTGATAGCAAAACAATCTTCCAACATTAAGGCAAAATCCCTTTCTTGTAAGATAGGTTAAAAAGTCTGCAAAATACTGGTGCGAGTTCATTTGCGCACTCAAAGAACGATGACAGGTTCATCATCAGGACCAGACGCCTTGTTGATATTGAGCTGCTTCAAAATTTGCCAGACTAAACATTGTGGTGCCTTCCCCAATAAATCGACTGTGGAGTGGGACGCAAATTGTTCAGCTAGTACATTCGCTTTTTCTATGGCTGCTATTGTAATTGAACCATCTGTTGAGTTAGCAATGGGTTTTATATAGTTTTGATCAACAGCTTTAGCTACCAATCAGAAGTATCTAGACCCGTTGAGATTGGAAAGCAGTTTATCCCTAATTCTCTGATTGTGAAGTTCTTTGCTTTCATTTATTCTGAGTTCGCAACTGCTGCGAGCATTAATAAACCTAGTACGGTTTTCGGCACCGGGATTTTTGCTACCACTGCCAGTGGGCGATATTTTTGGAGGCCGCAGCTTGCTCGCAATTTTTGTTGAACCAAGGTTTGCCGTCAGAAGTTTGTTTCTTGTTTAGGTTTAGACGGCTGAGGTTTTCAGTGTCATTTCTTTTCGAGTTTGAAAGCCGTGGATTTTTGGAATTTCTTCCTGACGTTTCGCTGGCGCGAGTGGCTAGCTTCTTCAGAGATTTAACCATCATGGCATGGTGTAGAGTTCTAAGTTTCTCAACATTTAACCATCCTCATTCTTGCATTGCTGGGAATATATGGTCGTATTTCCGTATACCAAACGTGAAACGTAGACAGCTATTCTGAATACGCTGTAGTCGGAGAGCATCCGATTGCTTTGAAGCAGGTCCATAAATACTGTCGCAATAGGAAATTTTTGACATAACCGGAGACTCGCATGGTCTGAATTGAAAATTTGTATTGAGCAAATCACGATTGGGAAAAAGCTGTCTGAGAACGTTATAGGAGGATTGGTACAGGTAGTTGACATATTTAGTAAACCGAAGTTCCAGATCAAACCACAATCCTAAATTTTTTATCTCGGCCACGGAGGGAAGTATTTCGTTTTCGATGCGACCTTGAAAAGTAGAGTTGGTGAGCTCTCTGTTGTTCTTAGCTCCGAACATCATTATTGCGGATTTGTCAGAATTGAGCTTGAGCGTATGGGCTGTAGAAATGTCAAAGATGGCTTGGATATCATTATTAATATATGACAGAGCAGACGTGGACTCTCCAGGCGAAAAAGAGAAATATAACTGTGTGTCGTCTGCAGAGTGATGTATATTTTTTTACGGACAGATACAAGTCACAAATATACAAGATGAAAAGCAAGGGATCAAGGATATATCCTTGAGGCACTTCCTTTAATACCGGTAGAGCATCTGAAATAACTTTATTCAAAACAACTCTTTGCGTACGATTCTTCAGATAGTTTTCTAAGAGAGACACTGCTTTCCGAGAAAAACCGAAGTAGACAAGTTTGTCACACAATATCTCATGATCTAGATTATCTAGAGTGTCAAATGCCTTGCTGTAATCTAGAAGTATTAAACAGGTCAGATTCTGTTCATCTGCAGCTTGAAAAATATCGTCTGTAATTGACAGAAGAGCCATGGTGGTACTATGCTGAGGTCTGAATCCTGTGAGGTCTGAATATAGTTTAAGAAACTAAAAAACACGATTTTAAAGAACATCGACAGGCGCTTGATGTACAAAAAATATTTCGTTCGTTATTGTTTTAAGCTCATTTAAAAAAATATTTTCAACTTTTAAGCTTGATGTTCTTCAAAATCGTGTTTTTCATTTTTCAAACTATATTTATTTTTCAGTTTCGTATTCTATAAAATCATGTTTTTTAGTCTTTTTGAAGTATATTTATTTTATCTAAACTTTAGGATCAATAAACCGTATATTGTTTAGAAGTGTGACCATTGATATTTTTGTATTCCGCATCAAGGAGTTTACGTACAGCGCCATCTGCCCACGAATGGATCAAGCAATAATGTCGATAATTCTGTCAAATCCCGAGCTTGGGAGTTACAAACAAACAAACATACATGCATGCATACATACAGGTTAAGCTAATAATGAAAGCGTGTTAAAAAATAATTTACCACTTACTTGCGATTCAATCCTAAGTTCACTGATGTTTCCAGAACTTTATGCACAATTCCCTGAAATTTGTATGAATCACTGTTGTTCTCTCTGATGTACACCGAATCGTGTACCAAAAGAGATGGCCGAGCTTCTGCAAGACCTGGAACCTATTGAACGAAAAAATTATTGCAGCGACACCAAAATATTCGGAATGCGGATATGGGTTATTTCCGTGATTTATTTCACAGGAGGAATACAGTGTGATATTTTGAGCAAAAAATATTGAGAGAGGTGTTCTACACGGTACAGTTTTGGGGACAATCCAGAAATCGTTTACGGAATTTTTTTACTGGCTAGTAAAGGTGGGATCTTGTGCTTTGCAGATACACTTTTCTTCATGAAAGAACAAATTGTTCATGTTCATGATTCACAATAAAATGAATGGACCGAAATGTCAACAATAACATAAAGTATAATTCAAGCGATATCAAAAATTTTCGAATGCAGTTTTCAAAATGCAAAATGAGGTTACTTTCGTGAGTTATTCCAAAGCTAACTCTTCAACAGAAAGTAGACAATAAAAACTGATGATTTGAGCAAGAAAATAACGAGAGAGTAATCAAAAATCTGTTAACGAAATTCGTTCATTGGACAGTAAAGGCGAGATCTCTTACTTTGCAGATACATTTTATTTATGAAAGCAGAAACTGTTTAGAAATGAAGTTGAAACTATACTTGAAAATGGATCACGATAAAATTGATGGACCGAAGTGTCAACCATAACAAAAATATAATCGATGCGATATCAAAAATTTTCGGAATGCAAAATGAGGTTGTGAGTAATTCCAAAGCTAATTTTTCAACACTGCCAGAAACGTTTTTAGCAACAAAATACTGAGGGAGGGGTTCAACATGGTACTGTTTTGAGAGCAATCAGAAAATTCATTTACGAAATTCTTTCACAGGCTAGTAAAGGTAAGATCTTGTGCTATGCAGATGCAGTATTTTTTTATGGAAGCACAAACTGTTCATAAATCAAGTCGAAACTATAGTTGACAGTGACTCATGATGAAATAATGAACCGATCTGTCAAAGATATCAAAAATACACACATCGGAAAAGTCTAGGGATATTTTTAAAAATTGCAATCTTTTTTTTTTAGATCGCTTTAGGGAAAAAAGTTGACGGGTGATTATTAAACGAATGTAACTTACAACAAAATTTATTAAATGGTTAAAAATACTGAGTGCGCATATAAGCAAAACTGAAAAAAAATATGGCTCTTCTTTGGCACCCCAAAAAAAAATCATAATACAAAAAAAATTGGAATCAGTACAAAGTATGGCCTCCACGCTGGTTTATTACGGCCCTACATCTATCGTGCATCGACAAAATGAGATTGTCAATGTCTTGTTGAGGTACATTTGACCATTCAGCGATTAAAAGCTCTCTCAATTGAAACGTTGTGTGAATGTTCCCCATATGCGGAGTAATTCTTCGTTGAAGCATGTTCCACACATGCTCGACGGGATTCAGGTTCGGAGATTGTGCTGGCCATGGCAATACATCAACTCCTTCGTTGGTGAGCCAGTCAGTCACTAGATACGCGACATGTGGACGAGCATTATCGTGCATTAGGTGGAAGTTTTCACCAACAGCACCAGCAAACGGACGGACGATAGGTAGAAGAATGGTGCCGAGGTACTGTCGAGCTGTGAGGGAGTGATTTGGAAAAACGAGATCGGTTCTGCCGCCGATCATGATTCCGCCCCATAGCATTACTGTACCACCTCTGTATGTGTGGACTTCCTGGACGTGTCTCAAACGTTCATTATTTCCAGGTCGTCTCCACAGTCTTACTCGACGAGAATCTGGATGAAATCCAAATCTGGATTCGTCTGTAAACAAAACTGTGGCACAATAATTTGCATCCCAATTTTGATGTTCTTGACACCACTCTAATCTTCTACCGCGATTGTCTCTCGATAAAGGTGGACATCTAAGTGGCCTTTTGTTGTGGAGATCTGCTTCATGCAGTCGATTTCTGACAGTATCACGACCAATGGTTACCTGGTGCGTCTGCTGCAACACGTTAACCAACTCAGGTGCTGTGATTGTCGGTTGTCTTCTTGCGGTTAAGACCAAAAATCGGTCTTGAACTGCAGTTGTAGCGCGTCCTCGCCCTGGATGTTGATCGGCTGGACTGCCAGTTTCACGGAAACGCCGCCACAATCGACTGATAATACTTTGGGAGACCCCCAAACGAAGAGCTACATCATTTTGTCGCATGCCACCTTGAAGAAGCCCTACAGCTCTATTCATCTCAGCCAATGGTAAGTGATGGCGTTCCATGTTAGAGCACAATATTTCCAGTTTAATTGCTGAACAAGAACCGCATAGAATGTACAAACTCGACACTTTCAGATTATTCATTTTAGCCGAAAACCTACAGTTTGTAAAAAACTTGATAAAAGATTAGTTACCGTTTTTGCAGGCTTTGTTCAACCCATAGAAATCTACAGGGTGGTCGAGTGTACCAATTTAATCGAAATTAAACGACCTCATGCATTTATTTTTATGATATTTAGTATGTTATAAAAATATCCCTAGACTTTTCCGATGTGTGTATAATCGATTCTATGTCAAAAATTTTTATAATGCATTTTTCAGAATGCTAAGCATACTCTTAAACAGAAGGTAGACTGTGTGAATTCACGTTTTGGGAAAAGCATATTGAAGGAGGTGTTTCACACGGTACAATTTTAGGGGCAATCCAGAATTCGTCTACAGAATTTTCTCACTGAACCAACTGTTGGGAAATTGAGTTGAAACTATAGTATATAATATGGAAAAATTAAATAATATCAAATCAAAACTATAATGAACCAAATAAATTCGTATATAAATCACCTTCAGATCATACAAAGAACCTCCTTTCACAACTGTCAGTTCGGATTTTGTATCAAAGTCTCTGATGTCAATTTTCATTTGATGTTCCTCAATGTCCAGTAGCTTGGAGAACGTCGCATGATAATTATCCTTAGTAATCCTTGGGCAGATTTTCAGGATGGAGCAATATACATCGTAGGGACGATTTTGTGATAGGGGAATTCCTTTCTTGATGAAATCGGGAAAGGCATTGATCAGGTCCGTCAGCTGCAGTTCGAAAGAAGGCGATATTTTGAAAGGTTGCAGAAGAAAGGATTCCTTGTAATGCGTGGGATACCTGTAAATAGCCAATATTTTTGTTCACGTCGTCGTAATGTCAGGCGTGGAAAAACGTGTTGTCTCTATTCTGGTATATGGAAAAAGTATTTTTGTTAACTAGACTGCCAGGAAGCGAATAGAAACAGGTAAATGAGAAATTTGTTGTTATAAATAACTATTCAGGCTGTATTCAAGTTATTTATTAGGTGTATTTGATATTGCCACTGATTATTTGAATGAAAATATAGATACTTATTCAATTTCAACAAAAATTAAAAAATCTACATACGAAACGATTCATTTTTTAAAATTACCGATTTGCACTTAACTTTTTCACATATATTTTCACCTGCAATTGAAAGAAACAGATATATCATCATTGTTATTATCACTATTATAGTATCTCTTCATCAGGAACTAGCAAAAAAAAAGTCTCGAATTTGGCTCCATTTTACCAATGTTTACAGTTTATTCCTCAATGAACATGGAAAGGAATATAATCAGTTATTATTGTCAAATTGAAAAGTGACTAAATTTACATTTCTATGAATTTTATCCTAGAAAAGTAGACTCATTATCAATATATTTTTGCCAATAACTCGAGACAAAAAAAGTATACTGATATCATGGAGGTAGAAATCAAGAAAATGAGCACTAAAATCGCGATGTGACGACTGAAGTATGGTAAACTTATGGTAAGATAAATCCAAGCGTGTCAGTCGTGATTCATAAATCGCGTATATGCTAATTCATTGAAATATCTTTCAATTTACAATTTCAGCCAGGATGGGGGGGTGCAATATTAATCCAGCAGTCCAAAAGTATATACAAAAAAATTTTGAGCTATTTGGAATTGAGGGATAGTTTAAGTGGAAATTTTTTCAACAAATATCTATATTGAATTGTTGATCTGCCATCCAACGAATAAGTAAAACTACAAATAATATTGAATATAATCTAGTTATTGAAGATTCTAGTTAGTTGAAATTTCTTGATTTCAGCCAATTTGTCTGAAGTTGGCAAGCGTGTTACTATTTATATAGTGGGATTTTTAGTAAAAAGTGTCTAGAGATTATCACATTGTCATCAGTGCATTGATTGCTTATTTTCTAATAAAAACAACTTCAATTATGCTTCAATTAGGTAGGTGTTTTAGGTATTTTGATTCCCCTATGAATGTGTTGTTGAAATTTGTGAATTATGTGAAAGAGTAATCAAATATCATTCCAACTTATACGTAGAAAAAATATGGAAAGATCTAAATAAACAAAAATTTTTGTAGATGTTGATATTTTTTCTGATTCACGGATTCAATGATCAGATAACACACCACACATAAGGAAAAATACATAGATATTAGATTCTATTTTATAGAAAAGCAAACTTATTTCAAAGAAATAAAAATACGATTATATATATTTGCATTTGAATTTAATGTAAGTAAGGATCTGTCTTAGGCGTCGATACCTCTTATCGCCCTTCAGGCCTCACTTGTATGTCATTATTCTTATTATCACTAGCATTTCTTCATCATGAACTCAAAAAAAAGGAAGAGAAGCTTCGAATTTCCTTCAATTTCTTTAATGTTCGTTGTTTATTTTTCAATGAATATTCAAGAAAAAATATAGTCAATCGTCATTGTCAAGTTGAGGAGTGATCTCTTGCACTAAATTTATGATATTTCCCTATTTTCCATCTAAGAATACTGAATCCATTTTGAATTTTTCTTTGTCAATAACTCAATTCATGAAAAAAATATCGTTGACTTACGGATCCGGTTTTATCCCTGGGATTATTGATTCTTTTCTTTGAGGAATTGGTATATTTTTGACCCTCTTCCAAGTATAGTTTGAATTTCCTTTCAGATGTGAGAATTCTGAAATAACTTCGATTGGCTGAAACAAATGTCATTTTTTTTATAGAGATTGTTCACTAGTAGGTAGAATATTTGAGGCGACTCAAAGTATTACCAAAAATTGGGAACTTTTCAACTTGAATATATCTGTAGATATTATACATACAAACGGAGCTTAACAGTGACGAAACGTTTCTTCCCAACGGCGATAAAACTTACAGCCATGAAATTTCAATTCAATATTATGATTATGATTGTAACTAGTATCAATGCTTAGTCAACTCAAATGAATATGTAAATCAAATAAAACTCAACAATACGATGAAAAGATACGAAAGTTCGCGATTACGAATGAACTGCCACACTTTATCGATTTAGATAACCTCACGAAAAAAAGTTAACAATTCTTCAATTCAATAATTCGATTCAATAAAATCGAAAAGAATACGCGACGTATTGGTGGCTATTCTTGCTCAAACACAGCATAAGGAATTCCCTACGGTGGTAGCAGTCGCTTATAGCTTAGATATTTGAGATGATCTGGCTTTCGACCATTATGGGCATAGCTTCAGGACCTTCTTTGCCGTACCCTAGGATTCACCAGAAAGTTTAGCATTCTTAGCCGGTCCGTTTTCGAGGGTAACAAAAACTGCCAGAACGACGTTCAATGTAGGGGAAATCAAGAAAACGGGTCATTGAGAAGAACAAAAATTAGTATGGGTCCTTTAGGGCCTCCAGTTAACAGAAAGGTCTCCTTGAGGAGGCTTGGGGCAAGGAGCTAGCTATTGGCCTATGGATCATAAGGGGCATAGCCCCAGAACCTTATATGCTTCACCCTAGAAATCACCACAAAGTCTAGCACTCTTGGCCGGTAGCCTTTTGGGAAAAACCTCAACTGCCGGAACGACGATCAAGGTAGAAAAAATTAGGCATTTGGGTCATCGAGGAGACCGAAAATTAGCATGGGACCCTTAGAACCTCTAGTTACCAAAAAGGTCTATTTGAGGAAGCTTGGCGGAAGGAGCTAGCTATCGGCCTATGGACCATAAGAGGCATAGCTCCAGGACCTTCTTTAACATACCCTGGAATTCACCGCAAAGTCTAGCAATCTGGCTGGTCATCTTTCGGGAAAAAGCTTCAACTGCCAGAACGACTATCAAGGTAGGGAAAATTAGGCAAATAGCTCATCAGGAGGAGTGGAAATTACCCTGAGCCTATGGGGCCTCCATTGACCTGGGAAGGCCTTCTTGCGGAGTCACGGCCCAAGGAGCAAGCCATCAGCCTACAGACCATAAGAGGCATAGCCCTTGGACCTTTTTTGCTGTACCCACCACAAAGTCTACCACCCTTAACCGGTCGCTTTTCGGGGGACATCTTAACTGCTGGAACGACGGACAAGGTAGGGAAAATTGGGCAACGGGGTCATCGGGAGGTAAATAGCCTGGGATCCTTAGGGCCTTCAGTTGCCAAGAAAGGCCTACTCGCGAAGGTTTGCCGCAAGGAGCTAGCCATCTGCTTGACCACCATAAGAGGCATAGTCTAATTCACCACAAATACTAGCCCTCTCGGCTGGTCCTCCATCTGGGGTTACCTGCTGGAACGACGGTCAAGGCAGGAAAAATTAGGCAAATGGTTTCTCGAGAGGAATGGCAATTACCCTAGACACCTTAGGGCCTCCAGTTACCGGTGAAGTTACCTGGCCTTCCCCGGTAACTTGTCACGAGACTTGTCGCGTAACTTGTCGCGTAACTTGTCGGAAGAAGCTAGACATCGCTTGTGGTCGCTTTCATAGGAGACCACAGCCTGATGCGACAAGGATGTCTTCAGAATAAAATTGCCTTGTGGAAAAATAGCCTGATATACTCCGAAGAGTATGCAGTCGAGCAACTAATCCAACGAAATCATGTTTCTTCATGTTTTCATCAACATTTCGAGGTCTTGTGGTGATACTATTGGAAACAGGTTCTGATAACTTCCATGATTTTACATTCCAAACATTTCAAATTCTGATGTGATATCTTCTGTTTCTTCTGGTATGGAGTATACAAAAGATCAAATGTATATAAGATCGTCTGTACCAATTTCTTCATTAACTTTTATTCCTACTCTACGAAATCCCAAACCCAAAACTATAAACTGAACTTCAACAAAAAATAATCATATTTACTCACAATTTCTTTTACGATGAATTCCTTTGTGCCATTTCCATTTTTGATTACTATAATGAGAGGAAAGGTGAACGAGGCACTATTTTCAAAATACCCATTTAAAGAAACAACGGTGTTTTGGGAAGGCGCCAAAACAATCTCTCTTTCGACTTGCGTACTGAGTGTGATATCCGTCACATGTGGATTCATTTGAAAAACTTCCAATATAGTCATTACAGATGACGATTTGTTCATTAAATTCATTTTAACCTCAATGTTTGTCTTTGGCCTAGTTTCAATGGATAACGATGACTTTTTCTCAGTACAAGTCTCCATAATTTCGAGGACTAATTCGTCTGAAGATTTGATGATCGTTCTGAAAGCAAAATCCATCATTTAGGATATAATGAAGTAAAAATGATCACGAGGATATGTGTGGATGCAATTGGACCCAGGTTTGTGTTTAATAAACCCTACAGAATACAAATGGAACAGAACACAGAGTCAGATGCTACAAATGCAATACGCATATATGCAGACAGCTCAAAAACCAAAGAAGGTTCAAGATGTGGAGTGTGCTCCAAATCACTAAGCCTAAGGATTAAGTGGGGAAATGAGAAAAAATACCAGCGTGGTCCAAACAGAAATGGCTGGTATCTCAATCGCCACAAAAGAAATAACCAGGAAAGGAATTTCTGGCAAAAACATAATAACAATCTGCACTGACAGCAGACAAGCCTTATTAGCCCTGAACAGACAACGTGTTACCTCGGGGCTAGTACTAGAGTCTCACCAACATTTAGCCGAAGCCTCGGTAGATAATAACATTATCCTGAGGTGGGTTGAAGGGTACGACAGGAGCATTGCCGATTCTTCAGCCAAGGAAGCTGCTGGACTAAGAATTTTAGGACCCAGTGGCACCTACGGCCTGATGACTTCGACAATTGCGGAACCAGCCAAATGTTACACCCATGCTCAATCCCTATAGACATGGGATGGAATCGAAGGATGCAATCTTGCCAGGATCACCCTGGGCGACCCTGGAAAGCTGGCGCCGAAGAAATATCTGGCGATGACCAGGAAAAATCTACGCTTGACAGTAGGATTTCTGACTAGCCACTGTCAACTGAGGAAACACCTCCATAGTATGGGGCTATTGGACACACCTCTATGCAGGATGTGTGAACAGGAAGATGAGACTGTCAGGCATGTCTTATGCGAGTGCCCGAAGTTATCGTCGATAAGAGAGTATGCCTTCGACGAGTCTTGGCCCACACCTGCCGATATAAAGGAGATGTCCCCAAGTGACCTGTCCACCTTCCTGGAAAGACAAGATGGACGATGACCTAGGAGGACAATTCCTCGGGAGGATGTACAATGGGTCACATGTGGCCTAAGTAATGTGGGCTTACACTCACCCTCTTCCTACTCAGATACAGATGTGTAGAAATCAAACGAAACTCAAGAGAATTTTTTTATCAACTTTATTTGAACTCGCATCAACCTTCAGGGTTATTAGCGACTGAACAATGCATCAGTTGCAGGGTATAAGGTTGAACAAGTTGACATTTCCTAAAAATTTTACAATATTTTCAATATTACATTTAGGTCCTAATGCTTTGTTGATTGAAGGCGGTATGCCATGAGTAAGTCTTCCGTTGGAATATAGCACACACTTTGTTAAGATATGGTCAACACTTGATTTTACTTTGGCAAGTTTACTGCAAGACCCATTCAATTGATCTTGCCATAGTTCAGTGAGGATTTTCTTGTAGGAGAGTTTCAGATTTGTATGGACAACATAGCTTTTTGTACTGTTTAAAGGACTGGTAGTGGCTTCTTTAGCCAACCAGTCAGCCTTTTTGCTTCCTATATAAATTTTATGACTGATCAGCTTTTTTATACGACGAATGATGGGGTGATTGGAGTATAATTGGTTGATTGCTACCAGGGCACTTAAAGAATCTGACATAAATAAAAATTTAATGGAGTTGTTCTTCTCTACGAACTGCAATGCTTTCTATATTGCGTAAAGTTCCCCAGTAAACACTGAGCTTCTTAGGGGAAGTTTGAATGATGAACTAGACTGAAGGCTGGTAAAAGCGGCTCCTACGTCGTCTTCTGTTTGGATTGGGTCAAACTCCTTGTATTTCGTATGAATCTAATATATAAAAATTGATGTTTGTTGGTTGGTTGGTTGGTTGGTAAGTGATGAACTTCCACATCGCTCAACCGATCGTGATGAAACTTGACATGTACAAGCAGTTTTCCATAGAGAAGGTTTTTAGGCTATCAATTTTTCTGTAACTCGCCACTAGATGGTGCTGCAGAACAATTTTTTGGAAGCACTGTTCTATAACGCTGCGCACACCTGATTCTGTCAAAACAATGGAACAGCAGCGATACAGCAACATAGTACTAGTTATTTTATATGAATTACATTTGATGACTACGCAGTTGATGTCTTTCTTTCTGAACTGGTTAATGTTTGTATCAATGAGAATTTTTGGGGTGGTCTATGGAGTGGGGTTAGGGTTATTCGGGTCGGAAAAGGTTTTTCGTTGATGAAGGTTCAAATTATGTAGATACTGATTTTGTCTCTCGTGAAAAAAAAAGTCAGCTCTTTTCTTCCTAGCATATGCTGATGGAAATCTATGGGCAATCACATTATGGTATACTCCCAGATAGCACAGGACGTTTTAAATACGTCCATTACATGTCCATTCATCGTCTGAATGTCCAGGACCAAGTCTGGACGTTTTAAGTATGTCCAGTTTAGTAAATCCTCGGGATGTCCAGAAATATATGTCCGTAGAACGTCCATTCTAGGTACTTCATTAAATTTCCATTGGATTCACGTTCGCATTGTATTATTCCATGAGAAACAATAAAAAATCAGAATATATTATAATGAAATGATTATATAAGACGGCGTATATATAAAAAACGTCTCTTTCAGCAAGACGTTGTTATATCGTCCATAAGATGTCCACGTCCGTAAAATGGACGTTTTGAGGATGTCCTGAATGTCCAAACGTCTACAAGAACGTATTTGTGCTATCTGGGATGGGTTTTCAGGGTTTGTTGTAATGAAAGCAGTATAGTTGAGGGTTAAAAACTGCCTTCACGTTTGTCACTATTTACAATGGTTTTAAAAATCTCATTCAGAATTAGAATGTTTCATAGAATGTGTGGCCACTCCCGGAAACAATTTGTTAAAATCGTAAACTTTTGATTGCGATATTCCTGATAAAGGAGTGGTATATGATCACTTCTAATTTTAGTTTTAATCAGTCACTCAACAGAATTCCAATTTCATCAGGATATTCAGTACCTCATCTCATATACGTGGACTGTGCATAAAATAAAGTGAATGTTCAAATTACGCAGGCTACGACTAGCGATTTTTGTTTATTTTTGAATGTTGTTACACTTGCCCCGAACATGCTCATAGTTCCAGCTGTTTAGCATGTTTGGTTTGTTCGTCAGAGGTATAAAAGTTATACGGATTGTCAAATGTAGGAAGAGCTTTCTAAATTCCGTTATGGTCCCTTCCACTAGATCTTCTTATGTTAGAAGACAGTGAGAGTGAGGGAAAGAGACAGAGAAAAATTTCTCAAGTCTTTTTTTCGATTTGACAAGCTCTAAGTGGTTAACGTGTTCAGCGATTTTTTGCTATCGAAAAAAAATAATTAAATAACTCGCATCATCTTTTGTGTGAAAACAAAATAACTTGAGTGTTCAAAAACACTTGAAATGTTGACAGTGGCAAAAGGTGATTACACTGCGAGTTAGAAAAATGTTGAAAATGTTAAGAAAGTGAAGAAAATTGTTATAGAGAATCGTAGAACCACTATTAGAGAAGTTGCTGAGAATATTGGCATATCAATCCAATCGTCTCCATGGAAGAACCCAGGAGAGCCAGGACCACAAGAGGCACGCCAAATTCGACCAAATGTCAAGGTTCCACTCACTCTTTTTTTATGGACAGAGTGAACCTAAAAATTCTTCCTGACGCTGAGTCTACAGAGGAGATGCATTTCAAGTTTGCGACTCCAACTGACCTCCCTGTGACTTTAGACCAGGAGCGAGAGCTTCTCAACTCTCTAACTCCTGATCCAATGACTGAACCTGATAAATAGGTTTGGTGGTGCAGCCAGGAAACGACTGAGTCGTCTCCTCGAGAGCGGGCTACCTTATGAAACCACCTTGCACAAAATTCTTGAGCGGCGTACGTAGAATCTGTCTCGAGTGGAGGAACAAACCCCACATGAGCAGGTTAGCAACCGTTCGCGCTCAAGTGATGACTCACCAAAACAAGAGGCGAAAAAACCCTGCACGAGTGAATCTAAGGCATCGTCAGGTGTAGCTGACGTGTAAAAACCCTTATATGGGAAGGTTGTCGCGGGTATCAAGATGAAAATCTTGCACCTTGACTATCCGACTACCTCAATAACAATGAAACAGCAGAGTATATACTTTGTGTGTACCCCGCTGGTTTCCAGAGTTCGGCAGAGCCGTACTCTTACCATTTGACTTGAAAGACCACTCACCATACAAACTAATCGGATTCGATAAGAAGCTGAGTTTATTTGGTCGAGTCTGAATAGGTTTGATCCACAATAAGCCCTTGCGGGTTGCGGGTTTGGATCTAACCTAAGCACTGTTTCCTTCAATTACCATGGCGTAGAACATCAGCAGTTCTTGCCATAAGGTCATACGGTCAGTAAGGAGAATTATCATGAAGTTATGCACCGCTTGCGAAAAGCAATGCGAAGACATTTTCCGGTGTTGTGGAAAAATAGATCATGTATTTTGCATCACGATAAGGCACTTGCTAATTTTTCATTGCTTGTTCGCAATTTTTTGGCCAAAAACAATACCGTAATCATGCCTCAGCCACCGTATTCACCAGATTTTCCCCCTTCGGACTATTGAAGAGATCCATGATAGGACGGCATTTTGCGACAACTGAAGAGATAAAAACCAAAATGCCAAGAGAGCAAATCAGAACTGCGTAGAGTATTGGAAAAACGCTGGCAAAAGTGTATTACATCTAAGGAGGACTACTTTGAAGAGGACAAAATAGAAATTAATAGATAAATAAATATTTTTTGAGAAAAATGAAAAACCACATAATTTTTTGAACAGTGTATGTACTTTCGTTTAACAATCCGATTAACAATCAACTCGTCGATATGCACCAAATAGATAACATCCATTATCGTTATCTATTCGAAAATAATAAGGAGACAAATATAAATCGTATCGATGATTCATTAACATGAATACAAGTTTATGATAATCCTGAAATATTTGAACTGAAATACTGCAAATTATCATTTTTATCCTGCTAAAATATATGTTAATATATTCAAAAACCAAAGCTAACACACGGTGCATTCATAATTCATCACGAGACAGTGCTGTTCCTACCGGTGATAGGTCTAATAAGTAGTACTAGACTGACCACAATGTGATTCAGCATTGTTGGTTCAATCTAGTATCAATAATGCGACAAAGTGAAAGACAAAGGACGAGGACGATGTCGAAGCTTGGCCTTACAAATGACTGCCTTTGGGAGCCTCGTTTATCTTTGATATTCGGGGAGTGACTTCTCTGTTGATCTCATAGATGATCTTTGTGAGGGAGATGTTTTTTTGGTCCCTTGGGAGCTGTCTGACTTGTCCATTTAGTCCAAGTCTCCAGAAAACACTGCAGCCTCTTGGACTCATTGCGTTTATTCTCCCATTCCATCAGTCTCGTTTCCTGTACTAGTTTGTACAGGTTCCGTGTTGGATGTTCGTCATATTTTTCTGGACGTAATTTTGTACGTCCATATATAGCCTGCCTCCTGTGATTCAGTGCCTCACATTCGCATAAGATGTGTAGAGCTGTTTCTATCCCTTCGTTGCATAATCTGCAGCTGAGGTATCCTTTATAGAGTCCCATTTCATTCAGGTGTCCTCTAAGCGGACAGTGACCGGTTAGTAACCCTGTAATTATTCTTAGCCGATCCCTACTATATTGAAGTAGTTCTTCGGTACTTTTCTCTGACGGTTCCCAAATGAAGGTTCTACTGTGTTTGTTGCCAGGTACTTTTGTCCAGTAATCTGTGTGCTTCTTATTGGTCTATGTCCTAATCGGTTTCGTACCAATGATTTTGGTACCCCCAGAGCTGGTTCAGGACCTATATATGAAGTTGATGATCTGTGTCTAGTGCAATGCCCTGGCACCCAGTACAAAGTTGATTTGTTCCTATTTGCAAGTTCATTCAGTTCTTCATGGCATTTCAGACTAGTTTTGATGTCACCTTCGGGTTTGTCAGAGCCCCTAGTGCGCTCTTGCTCTCTGTTAAAATATTGATTAAACTTTGCACACTACAAGATAGCACTAGGACTATACACTTCCGCCTGAAAGAAGGATGTGTATAGTCCTAGCGGACTAAGTAAGGGCATGTGTATAGTCCTGGCGGACTATACACATGCACATGATTTCTAGTGATTGTTGGCATTGAAAAAATTGTAAAAAACTCATCAAAAGCAGGTGTAGTTCTGTATCTGTAGAGTAGGGAGGGTGAGTGTAGGCCCACAGCACTTAGGGCACATGTGACCCATTGTATATCCTCCCGAGGAGTTGTCCTCCTAGGTCATCGTCCATTCTGTCCTTTCCAGGAAGGTAGGCAGGTCACTAAGAGACATCTGCTTTATATTGGCAGGTGTAAGTCAAGACTCGTCGAACACACACTCTCTTATTGACGATAACTTCGGACACCCGCATAGGACATGCCTAACAGTCTCATCTTCCTGTTCACACATCCTGCATAGAGGTGTGTCTACTAGCCCCAATATTATGGAGACGTTTCCTTAGTTGATGGTGGCCAGTCAGAAATCCTACTGTTCAGCGTAGATTTTTCCTGGTCATCGCCAGATATTTCTTCGGCGCCAGCTTCCCAGGGTCGCCCAAGGTGATCCTGGCAAGATTACATCCTTTGATTCCATCCCATGGGTGAGCATGGGTGTAACATTTGACTAGTTTCGCAATTGTCGAAGTCATCAGGCCGTAGGTGCCACTAGGTCCTAAAATTCTTAGTCCAGCCGCTTCCTTGGCTGAAGAGTCGGCAATGCGATTACCTCCACTCCTGTCGTGCCGCAGGTGTAGTTATGAATTATAGAATTGTCAGTATATTCCTGAAAACTCAATACACAAATGGCAAATAGGAAAAAGCTCGAAATTGAAGTACCGCAAAATCAACTTTCATTACCCTTGATTCAGAAATACCGCAATGCGATTATTTTCTGACAAATAAAAAGAACAAGAAAACGAGTACAAATATCCACCAAAAAAACTAGCAAGGTGAGAAAGAGATCCTACAAAATATTTCAATATTGAAAATAATAATTTTTGTTAAATCTTTCATGATGCTATAAACTAGCAACTATCATAGGTGCATAACTCAAAACAGAAAACAAATTTTCCGGTGTTTCAGGGTTCATCAGCAGTGGTCTGGAGGTTTTATACCCGACGTTTCGTCTACTACTGCGGCAGACATTATCAAAGGCGATGCGCAACCTGCGATGCGCAGACCACGGCTAATAAACCGAAAACATCGGACAATCAGTAATGAAATGATTTATTTTCACATTTTTTATTATGCCTCTGTAATGAAATACGTACCTTTCCTTGTGTTTGACGTACTCGAGTCGAATTTTATGTCTGTCGCACTGTAAGTGGAGTTCGTGCGATGTCTCATCTTCGAAATTGACATCGCACAGAAGACATCTGCGTTCATTTATTATAAACGACATAGTTGAGGCTATTGACATCAACTGTTTGATATACGTGGATCATCAATGGCATCGAGGAAAGTCTTCAACTCTCCCTCAATCTGAAACGTGTTGAGCAATGCTGTTTCCGCAACAATCTTCCTTCAAACTCGAGTAAATGAAATGTAATGATGTACGTACTGAAAATCATCTATTTCCATATTAATATTTGATAAACGATATTCCACTTCAACGAGCTCTCACATTCACCAATCTAGGTGTTATCTCCGACACAAAACTTTCATTCGAACCACACAATGAAGCACTCTGTCTGCTTCAAACAGAATGTATACATTTATTGCACGATTTCTCGGATCCATCTACATCGAAAACCTTATGCTATGCTCTTCAGTTGTATAGAGGGAAAGATGAATCAGTAAAACGTCGTTTCTTCAAATTTCTCTCCTATACAACAGACAAGATCTATCCACTAATTGGACTTCCACATGATGCATTGTTAGCTAGACATGCTATGAATAGCTTGAGTTGCCGTCGTGATTGTCACTCCACAATTTTTTTCTCTAAACTGGTCAATAGTTTAATTATTGACCCGCATATTCTGCAAAACGTTCTGAAACGTTCACCTCTGCATAACATGTGTGTCAAATGCAATTCAGCAAGTTGTCAGTTCGACATTTTTTACTGTTCCATCTCTTCGATAACTTTCTGGTCGGACCAGGCAAAAGCAGCCTTCGTCGACTTCACCGAATCCCGGGCACCCAATTTTTAAGCTGACAGAATTGATCGACTTGTGTCACGTTGGCAAAAATGCACTGATTGAAATGTCACTCATTTCGATTAAACTGAAATTGTATTCACTGATATGTTACAGAATCCAGTAGACTTATAAAAACGGACAAAACTTTTGTTAAACAATCTAATATTAGGAAATAAATAATTATTTTCTGGCATTCATGAATCACATTTCACACACTGGCTGTCTTAAGAAAATCAGACTAGTAACAACTAGTGACAACAACTCACTTGCTATCTGTTCTTCAAAATATTTGATCCATGCCTCATCAAAGCAGAAATTCTTTTTTGTGCTATTTTTGATGTACCAAAACTGCCACAAATGCTGGTAAAAAATGTGAAAACTACATCCTGCTTTGTTTCGGTAATTTTCAATGTAAAACTGTCGAACGTCGTTCTTCTTGGCTTTATAATTCTGAATGATGTTTTTCTTCAGTAAGTTTTTCACGAAATTCTCTAAAAAATATGATAATTACGAAATATAAAGTATAACTCAACGTATGCTACATCGGAAAAATGATATTTCGAAAAAGGTCGAGGTACGAGGTGAAAACAATCAGCAAATATTGAATTTTGAGTCACTCACCTAACAGCTCCATATTTTTCTAAAAGCAGACATCAGGTAAACACATGAAATTATATAAATTATTGCAAATTATTCGGGTCGGAAAAGGTTTTTGGTTGATGAAGGTTCAAATTATGTAGATACTGATTTTGTCTCTCGTGAAAAAGAAAGTCAGCTCTTTTCTTCCTAGCATATGTTGATGAAAATCTATGGGCAATCACATTATGGTATACTAGGGTTTGTTGTAATGAAACCAGTATAGGTGAGGGTTAAAAACTGCCTTCACGTTTGTCACTATTTACAATGGTTTTGAAAATCTCATTCAGAATTAGAATGTTTCATAGAATGTGTGGCCACTCCCGGAAACAATTAGTTAAAATCGTAAACTTTTGATTGCGATATTCCTGATAAAGGAGTGGTATATGATCACTTCTAATTTTAGTTTCAATCAGTCACTCAACAGAATTTTAATTTTATCAGGATATTCAGTACCTCATCTCATATACGTGGACTGTGCAAAAATAAAGTGAATGTTCAAATCAAGCGGGCTACGACTAGCGATTTTTGTTTATTTTTAAATGTTCTTACACTCGCCCCGAACATGCTCATAGTTCCAGCTGTTTAGCATGTTTGGTTTGTTCGTCAGAGGTATAAAAGTTATACAGATTGTCAAATGTAGGAAGAGCTTTCTAAATTCCGTTATGGTCCCTTCCACTAGATCTTCTTATGTTAGAAGACACTGAGAGTGAGAGAAAAAGAAGAGACAGAGAAAAATTTCTCAAGTCTTCTTCTCGATTTGACAAGCTCTAAGTGGTTTATGTGTTCAGCGAATTTTTGTTGTCGAAAAAAAATAATTAAATAACTCGCATCATAACTTGAGTGTTCAAAAACACTTGGAATGTTGACAGTGGCAAAAGGTAATTACACTGCGAGTTAGAAAAATGTTCACAACTGGTACAAGCTTTTCATAAAACGTCGAGACGATGTGAATGACGACGCCTGCCAAAGACGCCCCAGCATATCGAAAAATGATGAAAATTTTCAGAAACTGAAGAAAATTGTTATAGAAAATCGTAGAACCACCATTAGAGAAGTTGCTGAGAATGTTTGCATATCGGTCCAATCGTCTTCATGGAAGAACCCAGGAGAGCCAGGACCACGCCAAATTCGACCAAATACCACTCACTGTTTTTTATGGACAGAGTAAACCTAAAAATTCTTCCTGACCTGAGTCTACAGAGGAGATGGATTTCAAGTTTGCGACTCCAACTGACCTCCCTGTGACTTTAGACCAGGAGCGAGAGCTTCTCAACTCTCTAACTCCTGATCCAATGACTGAACCTGATAAATAGGTTTGGTGGTGCAGCCAGGAAACGACTGAGTCGTCTCCTCGAGAGCGGGCTACCTTATGAAACCACCTTGCACAAAATTCTTGAGCGGCGTACATAGAATCTGTCTCGAGTGGAGGAACAAACCCCACATGAGCAGGTTAGCAACCGTTCGCGCTCAAGTGATGACTCACCAAAACCAGAGGCGAAAAAACCCTGCACGAGTGAATCTAAGGCATCGTCAGGTGTAGCGGGTATCAAGATGAAAATCTTGCATCTTGACTATCCGACTACCTCAATAACAATGAAACAGCAGAATATATACTTTGTGTGTGCCCCGCTGGTTTCCAGAGTTCGGCAGACCCGTACTCTTACCATTTGACTTGAAAGACCACTCACCATACAAACTAATCGGATTCGATAAGAAGCTGGGTTTATTTGGTCGAGTCTGAATAGGTTTGAGCCACAATAAACCCTTGCGGGTTGCGGGTTTGGATCTAACCTAAGCACTGTTTCCTTCAATTACCATGGCGTAGAACATCAGCAGTTCTTGCCATATGGTCGTACAGTCAGTAAGGAGAATTATCATGAAGTTATGCACCGCTTGCGAAAAGCAATGCGAAGACATTTTCCGGTGTTGTGGAAAAATAAATCATGTATTTTGCATCACGATAAGGCACTTGCTAATTCATCATTGATTGTTCGCAATTTTTTGGCCAAAAACAATACCGTAATCATGCCTCAGCCACCGTATTCACCAGATTTTCCCCCTTCGAACTATTGAAGAGATCCATGAAAGACGGCATTTTGCGACAACTGAAGAGATAAAAACCAAAACTCCAAGAGAGCAAATCTGAACTGCGTCGAGGATTGGAAAAACGCTGGTAAAAGTGGAGGACTTAGGAGGACTACTTTGGAGAAGACAAAATAGAAATTGATGTAAAAATAAATATTTTTTTGAGGAAAATGAAAAACTACCTGATTTTTTGAACAGACAGTGTATGTACTTTCGATCAACAATCGGATTAACTATCAACTCGTTGATGTGCACCAAATAGATAACAACCATTTTCGTTATCTTTTCGAAAATATAAGGAGACGAACATGAGTCGTATCGATGATTCATTATCATGAATATTACTTTATGATAATCCTGAAATATTCGAAGTGAAATACTGCCAATTATCATTTTTATCCTGCTAAAATATGTGTTTAATATATTCAAAAACCAAAGCTAACACACGGTGCATTCATGATTCATCACGAGACAGTGCTGTTCCGACCGGTGATAGGTCTAATAAGTAGTACTAGGCTGGACCACAATGTCATTCAGCATTGTTGGTTCAATCTAGTATCAATAACGCGACAAAGTGTAAGACAAAGGACGAATCTTGTTGACAGTCGAAGTCGAAGCTTGGCCTTGCAACTGACCGTCTTTGGGAGCCTCGTTTATCTTTGATATCTCTGTCGATCTCATAGATGATCTTTGTGAGGGAGATGCTTTTTTTTGGTCCCTTGGGAGCTGTCTGACTTGTCCATTTAGTCCAAGTCTCCAGGTTCCGTGTTGGATGTTCGTCATATTCTTCTGGACGTAATTTTGTACGTCCATATAAAGCCTGCCTATTGTGATTCAGTGCCTCACATTCGCATAAGATGTGTAGAGCTGTTTCTATCCCTTCGTTGCATAATCTGCAGCTGAGGTCCCCGTTGTACAGCCCCATTTTTTCAGGTGTCCTCTAAGCGGACAATGACCGGTTAGTAACCCTGTAATTATTCTGAGCCGATCCCTACTATATTGAAGTAGTTCTTCGGTACTTTTCTCGGACGGTTCCCAAATGAAGGTTCTACTGTGTTTGTTGCCAGGTACTTTTGTCCAGTACTCTGTGTGCTTCTTATTGGTCTATGTCCTAATCGGTTTCGTACCAATGATTTTGGTTCCCCCAGAGCTGGTTCAGGACCTATATATGAAGTTGATGATCCGTGTCTAGTGCATTCATCAGCTTTATCATTACCTGCGATTCCTGAATGCCCTGGCACCCAGTACCAAGTCAATTTGTTCCGGTTTGCAAGTTCATTCAGTTCTTCATGACATTCCAGACTAGTTTTGATGTCACCTTCGGGTTTGTCAGAGCCCCTAGTGCGCTCTTGCTCTCTGTTAAAATATTGATTAAACTTTGCACACTACAAGATAGCACTAGGACTATACACTTCCGCCTGAAAGACGGATGTGTATAGTCCTAGCGGACTAAGTAAGGGCATGTGTATAGTCCTGGCGGACTATACACATGCACATGATTTCTAGTGATTGTTGGCATTGAAGAAATTGTACAAAACTCATCAAAAGCAGGTGTAGTTCTGTATCTGTAGAGTAGGGAGGGTGAGTGTAGGCCCACAGCACTTAGGGCACATGTGACCTATTGTATATGCCCCGAGGTGTTGTCCTCCTAGGTCATCGTCCATCCTGTCATTTCCAGGAAGGTGGACAGGTCACTGGGAGGCATCCCCTTTATATCGGCAGGTGTAAGCCAAGACTCGTCGAACACACACTCTCTTATTGACGATAACTTCGTACACCCGCATAGGACATGCCTAACAGTCTCATCTTCCTGTTCACACATCCTGCATAGAGGTGTGTCTACTAGCCACATATTATGGAGACGTTTCCTTAGTTGACGGTGGCCAGTCAGAAATCCTACTGTTAAGCGTAGATTTTTCCTGGTCATCGCCAGATATTTCTTCGGCGCCAGCTTCCCAGGGTCGCCCAAGGTGATTCTGGCAAGAGGGCATCCTTTGATTCCATCTCATCTCTTTAAGTATTGAGCATGGGTGTAACATTTGACTAGTTCCGCAATTGTCGAAGTCATCAGGCCGTAGGTGCCACTAGGTCCTAAAATTCTTAGTCCAGCCGCTTCCTTGGCTGAAGAGTCGGCAATGCGATTACCTCCACTCCTGTCGTGCCGCAGGTGTAGTTATGAATTATAGAATTGTCAGTATATTCCTGAAAACTCAATACACAAATGGCAAATAGGAAAAAGCTCGAAATTGAAGTACCGCAAAATCAACTTTCATTACCCTTGATTCAGAAATACCGCAATGCGATTATTTTCTGACAAATAAAAAGAACAAGAAAACGAGTACAAATATCCACCAAAAAAACTAGCAAGGTGAGAAAGAGATCCTACAAAATATTTCAATATTGAAAATAATAATTTTTGTTAAATCTTTCATGATGCTATAAACTAGCAACTATCATAGGTGCATAACTCAAAACAGAAAACAAATTTTCCGGTGTTTCAGGGTTCATCAGCAGTGGTCTGGAGGTTTTATACCCGACGTTTCGTCTACTACTGCGGCAGACATTATCAAAGGCGATGCGCAACCTGCGATGCGCAGACCACGGCTAATAAACCGAAAACATCGGACAATCAGTAATGAAATGATTTATTTTCACATTTTTTATTATGCCTCTGTAATGAAATACGTACCTTTCCTTGTGTTTGACGTACTCGAGTCGAATTTTATGTCTGTCGCACTGTAAGTGGAGTTCGTGCGATGTCTCATCTTCGAAATTGACATCGCACAGAAGACATCTGCGTTCATTTATTTGACTGGCTGCACACACTTCGATAATTTTGTATATTTTCCTCGTCACCCGATTTGAAAATTGGAATAATGAAGCTGTGTTTCCAATGATTTGGATAAACTGCCTGATCTAAGGAATTCTTGAAAAGAAGGTACAGAGGATGAGTAATGGAGTATATACAA